GCGACCCGGCCCGCACTTTGGTAGCCCACGAGCCCGACCGACGCCGCATCGTCTCCTTCGGCAGCGGCTACGGGGGCAACTCCCTGCTGGGCAAGAAGTGCTTCGCCCTCCGCATCGCCTCCCGCCTGGCCCGCGAGCAGGGCTGGCTGGCCGAGCACATGCTGGTGGGCTACCGAGTTTGAAAGTTACTAGCCACGCTGGTTTTGGGGTGAAAAGAGAGGATTTTGGGGGGCTACCAAGTTTGGAGGGGGTTTTGAGAGGATCTGGAGAAGTTTTGGAGTGGTTTTGGGTGGTTTGGAGGTTGCTGCGCCCCTTGGTTGGCCCAAAACGTGCAGGTGGGCTACCAAATTTAGAAGGTTGGTAGCCACCTGAGGTTTTGGGGGCCCAAAGAGGGGATTTTGGGGGGTTTGGGGGTGTTTTAGGGGTTTTGAGGGGCTTTGGGGGTGTGTGGCATCGCCTCCCGCCTGGCCCGCGAGCAGGGCTGGCTGGCCGAGCACATGCTGGTGGGCTACCGAGTTTGAAAGTTACTAGCCACGCTGGTTTTGGGGTGAAAAGAGAGGATTTTGGGGGGTTTTCCGGTTTGGAGGGGGTTTGGAGGGGTTTTGGGGGGATTTTGGCAGCATATGGTGTTGTTTGTTGCCCAAAAACAGGGCTGGGTGGCCCAGAACGTGCTGGTGGGCTACCAAATTTAGAAGGTTGGTAGCCACTTGAAGTTTTAGGGGTCAAAAGAGGGGATTTTGGGCGGTTTTGGGGTGTTTTAGGGGTTTGGAGGGGGTCTGGAGAAGTTTTGGGGTGGTTTTAGGGGGTTTCGGGGCTTCTCTAGGGTCTGGGTGGGCTAAAACGTGCTGGTGGGCTACCAAATTTAGAAGGTTGGTAGCCACCTGAAGTTTTAGGGGTCAAAAGAGGGGATTTTGGGCGGTTTTGGGGTGTTTTAGGGGTTTGGAGGGGGTCTGGAGAAGTTTTGGGGTGGTTTTAGGGGGTTTCGGGGCTTCTCTAGGGTCTGGGTAGGCTAAAACGTGCAGGTGGGCTACCAAATTTAGAAGGTTGGTAGCCACCTGAGGTTTTGGGGGCCCAAAGAGGGGATTTTGGGGGGTTTTGGGGTGTTTTGGGGTGATTTTAGGGGTTTTGGAGCAGTGTTGGGGCGGTGTGTTGGTAGCCCAAAAGCAGGGCTGGCTGGCCGAGCACATGCTGGTGGGCTACCGAGTTTGAAAGTTACTAGCCACGCTGGTTTTGGGGTGAAAAAAGAGGATTTCGGGGGGCTACCAAGTTTGGAGGGGGTTTTGAGAGGATCTGGAGAAGTTTTGGGGTGGTTTTGGGTGGTTTGGAGGTTGCTGCGCCCCTTGGTTGGCCCAAAACGTGCAGGTGGGCTACCAAATTTAGAAGGTTGGTAGCCACCTGAGGTTTTGGGGGCCCAAAGAGGGGATTTTGGGGGGTTTGGGGGTGTTTTGGGGTGATTTTAGGGGTTTTGGAGCAGTGTTGGGGCGGTGTGTTGGTAGCCCAAAAGCAGGGCTGGCTGGCCGAGCACATGCTGGTGGGCTACCGAGTTTGAAAGTTACTAGCCACGCTGGTTTTGGAGGGGGTCTGGAGAAGTTTTGGGGTGGTTTTAGGGGGTTTGGGGGTTTCTATAGAGGCTGGGTGGGCTAGAATCTGTGGTTGGGCTACCAAGTTTGGAGGGCTAGTAGCCACCTGAGGTTTTGGGGGCCCAAAGAGAGGATTTTTGGGGGGGTTGTGGTGTTTTAGGGGTTTTAAGGTCTTTTTGGGGGGGGTTTTAGGGCAATTTGGGGTTTCTATAAAGGCTGGGTGGGCTAAAACGTGCAGGTGGGCTACCAAATTTAGAAGGTTGGTAGCCACCTGAAGTTTTGGGGGTCCAAAGAAGGGATTTTGGGGGGTTTTGGGGTGTTTTGAGGGGTTTTGAGGGGCTTTGGGGGTGTGTGGCATCGCCTCCCGCCTGGCCCGCGAGCAGGGCTGGCTGGCCGAGCACATGCTGGTGGGCTACCGAGTTTGAAAGTTACTAGCCACGCTGGTTTTGGGGTGAAAAGAGAGGATTTTGGGGGGTTACCAAGTTTGGAGGGGGTTTTGAGAGGATCTGGAGAAGTTTTGGGGTGGTTTTGGGTGGTTTGGAGGTTGCTGCGCCCCTTGGTTGGCCCAAAACGTGCGGGTGGGCTACCAAATTTAGAAGGTTGGTAGCCACCTGAGGTTTTGGGGGTCAAAAGAGAGGATTTTGGGGGTTTTTGGGGTGTTTTAGGGGGTTTGGGATGGTTCTAGGGTGATTTTGGGGGGGTATTGTGTCCTTGGT